CTGCAACTCACTTGCCGATGCCGACTAATTAGCGGTCTGATCGAGAAAGGCTAATGGAGGTCGTGTTCAAGTCACGGAACGTTTCTTGACTCCTGCCTCGGTAGTTCACGTGGAGGTATACCTAAGATAGTGAGTGTAGTGTGTAATGAATACCTGCATCGCGATCCGTTATACAAGTCGAATACAAGTGTGTAAACGTGTAGTTGGCTAATGGCGAACGCGAGATCTCTGCCGCTGGTGGTTGTTCGCTCTTTGCAATTTCAGTTTAAATCGACGCGTAAACTTAATAACGAGTAATAATATTCGTTATATAAATAATTAAAAATTGCGAAAAACGCTAAGTGCTTTTATAGATTTTTCCCCTTGATTTTCCAGTTTGTTTTCTCTGTTTATTTTTTTAATCTCGTATATATTATGAACGTATTATTATCCATTAATGTATAAAGTATTCATGTTCTTCAAACATATCAGAATGTTAATCTGGATGATCTGAGACATTTTATAATTATGCATTAGATATCTATTTTAGCAAATCGATGAGTTTAATATTAAACGATTCTTCGCGTTTGACATATTTACGTCATATCGGAATTTTTAAGTAGTTCATTTTATACGTCAACTTCCACCGGTATTAAAAGTTACGTCTAGTCGAGATACAACAGGAAACCGAAGAAGGTTAGAGCAAAGTGATAGAATAAAGTGGTTATAGAGTAAAGTGAGCGGACGAAATATTATCGTTTGGATATCTTCGACGTTTAAGGCCGAAGAGTCAGTGTGAGGCTCACGAGATTACGATGTAATATCTCATTAACCTTATTGGCCTCTTTCACTCAGTCCTGTGGATAATAAGTACACGTACAAACACCGTAAACAGCTCCAAAATAACGTTTCACGCGATAGTTTACACGAGCACTCGATTTCTCCCTGCAGCTCTTCTTTGTTGACCCAATACATTCCCGGGATTATACGGTTTAAGGAACCTCGCGTGCATGCGTGCACGTATGCACGAATATGCAGGTGCACTTAGCTTCCTGATGCCGCGAGCGTCGTTCCCGATGTCGGATGATGCCTCGGGCGCGCTTCACCCTCGAGATTCCTTTCCGCATAGAGAGGAGGAGCGTTCCTTGGGACCTCGCATTCTTTTGCGAGGATCCGGCTTTATACGCGGAGAACTCGTCTCGTTGTGTAGATTTTTCAGCAGTAGTTTAAAAAAAATATATATATATATATATATATAAATAGGATGCGATGCATGCCATAAAATGCTCCACTTTTGGAGCAAGAACGAATTAAAAAGGAAGAATTATGTTTTACCGCAGCTACCATCTCATACTGTTTAAGAAGAAATAGATATACAGATATGCGGAAATCGGGAAATGTTATGCGAAATATTTCACCTCTATCGCATATCGTTTTTCCCTCGATGAATTAGACTCGTTATTGGAATTATCGTATGATGTCAATAATTATTGAGTTACGGAGCATTGCAAATGAACGATGTAATGAGTAAAAATTGTGACATTAAGTGCAAGCGCAGATTTTACATACTTTATGCGAGAATTGGCAAACTTTTTCCGAATATACAAAGTATAATGCTATTAAAGTCCTATTAATAGTATTTCGTTAGTAATAATCGATCGAATTGTTGTCAAATCAACGTCATCCTTTATGGAAATATTCGCGTATAATTACTGACAGCGAGATTTAGAACGGTGCACAGAGGATGTAAAAAAGAAACTCGAGTTACACCGTAGATAGGCATGAAACAAATAAACTTTTCGGCGCTCTTGCGGTGAGACCCGTTACTTTTTTTTCTTTCTCTCCCTCTCACATATTTCTACCCGTTTCGGCCGGTTTTCGCCATTGTTGGTTCTTCCGCATGCAGTAGCTTTCCCGTCGCAAATAAACTACTTTGACGCCGTTGCGGTGAGCCGTGTCCAGAGAGATATACGTTAACAATGAATTCACATTGGTGCGCTGGGAAACGTTCGCGACCATTCAACGCATTTTCCGTTAGTTTACCGTCATAATTGTTAAGTTACGTAGAATCAAGAATTAATACTCGGTAATGATTATGTGAAACAATTTCTCTGTTAATAAAATTGGCAAACGCACTTTCATATATTGTATAACATACTAAATGATTGTATATGTATTGTCTGTATGAATGATTGTATGGATTCGCGCCGATATTCTAGACATCTGTAAACAGAGAAAAGCTAGATATGCATCGAAATAAACGAGAATTGACACATCCATGGAATGCCTCTGATTTAAAGGAATATTTCCGATGCCGTGTACACATAGAGATATGTGTATCAGAAAAAAATCAACTATTCGTTATGCCGTTCAAATGGACGGAATTGAAATTGCAACAATTTCACGTGTTCGTATACTATTTCTATGCTGAATATTTTTCGAAAAATTCGTCAAAGCGATGAATTATTCCGCACCATTTGTTTTTTGGACTGCTGCGAAAAGAAAAATAGGAAACTGCAAAGGTCAATAGAGCATAAATTTGAGTTATTTCGAGTTGAAAGATAAAATGTGATTTGCTAAAGAGAAGTTTGCGATATTTTGGTAGAGTATTGAAATTTTACATACCATATACTTTTCTGTATATTAATATTCAATGATATACGCAATGTTATGGCTTCATTATTTTTATAACGTTAATTTTCCATATAGTAATTTATTAAATAATATTACAATAAGAATTTCTTTACATTGTTTACTGCAATCGATATGAACAAAAAATGTGAAATATAGATACTCATTGTGTATTTATAAATTTTAATCATATTTATTCGTTGACTTTTTTTTATTTCTCTATATACCTTTATTACTACACACACACACACACACACACACACACATACACACGTCAATAAATGTAGTAGCAAAAATTTAAAAGACCTATTAATCTATTTTTGATAGAGATTTAGGTGAACTTATATATGAATATCCTTCTCTGTCACAGTCTAATTTACAGAAAATTGATTTATTCTATTCGAACTATTTCTATAACTTCCTGATATTCGAACTCCATATCATTGCTCCATAAGCTGCATTGAAGAGTTTTAGAGACATTACTCAATTGTTGGACTCTTAAAATTTTCTAACCTTTTTTTGGCTGACATTTATTTTAAATTTACAAGTTAAATTAGTCTGTTATGTAAATAACGCAAATAAATGAAGGAACGCTAGATATGATCGAGACTGGATCTTGATATTTAATAATATTGTATTTCTGTGTAAATTTTAAATACATTTTCTAATTATATAATTTTTCTCCACGTCAAGTTAGATTTGAAATGCAATCATAAACTGAAGCTGAAATAATGTCACAAATTAAATTGACCGTCAATTGCGTTTCAAGTACGACAGTAATCACCGTGTAGTTTAATTGGAAGATGACTTAATATTTACATAAAGTATTATTATAGATATCAAGATCCAACGTCGACTCTATATTTGACGTTTTCTTATTTATTTGAATTATTTTAAATTTTACAAATTCATTCTTCGCATATTGCTATAGCAATTTAATACTGGATTTACGATCGCTTTTACTCATCGTTTTTAATTTCCATCAGTAAGTTAAATTTAATATTAAATTAAACTAATTTAAACAATAGTTCTAACTCACGTTTATTTATTTTTCTATTATATGTTTAACTCGTCTTCTAGCCTTCGTATATATATATATATATGCATATTTTTTAAATAAAAACAATTTGCGAAGCTTTATATGCTGCAACGTACAATAAAATCTCTCATTTGAACGTGTACGCGTCATAAACGAACGGTCGATTTTGTTAATTAAACGAAATTAAACGAAATTACGTTCATCGCCCTGCGTGTCGTTTCGGGGTAATTTGAGGGGATGTGTGTTTACACACATTTGTGGTAATGTGTGCATGCGTGCAGAGCTGTCTCATTGCTCTCCACGCTTTCCGAAGACGCTAGTAAGCGTAACCGCGAACGGTGAGTTCGCGACTGTTGCTCACCTCGTATAACTTATAACGTGCCGATTTCACCACAGAAACATTGCACGTGTGAAAGTTAGGACGTCCGGTCTTTTCGAAAGAAAAACTCACACGCGGATATAATTATTGCGCTTTGCTTCGGCGGATTTTCGATCGTTAATCATACCTGTTCGACGAACGAAAGAAAACTTTAACTTATTTTTCTGTTGCACATCTTTTTTTATTTAAACAATAATAAGTTACGATCCCGATTGGATTTTAGTGACAATAATATATACAATATTTCTGTATATTAATTAATTATTAAAGATATTTTCTAGTTTTTCGAACTGCGCATCGAACACAGCCAGTTTTAAACTAAAGCTGGAATAATATTATTAAATTAAATTGCTTGTCAATTTAAAAATAACAATGCTTTTATACATACGCACACGTTTTTAAATATATTGTATATAAGTATTTTAAAATACTGCAAAAAATATCAGAAATTTGAATCAAACCAAAATTGAAATCTGAATATCCCGATTACACCCGGAGCGTGCACTTCTCCAGTTCGACCGAGGCATGTGATTAATAAATATCATAATTGTTGTACTTATTATTACTAAATCAGATAAAACAGTTTTTCTGTGAAAAAATAATTATTTACTCAAATTGAATCAATCTCAATTATATATCTACAAGACTATTATATGGAAGTTTGGATGTTGATAGTGATAGAAGCTTTTACTCTCATACTATATATTTACAATAATAAATATTAAAAGCTAGATTAAATCTTTTATCTCTATTTAAAAATGGGACTAGAAGTTGCAAAACGCAAAAAATGTTTTAAACCAAAATTACAGACGTATAGTTTATAGATCACTTATTCAAAATGCACCCTAAATACTCTTTCTCTTCTTTTTTTAATTTTAAATAGATATAGTACTGTATTTTAGTGACTTTCGACAATCGCCTAACACGATATTTATGCTAGTCTATATGTGACGATCACTGTCTGCATTATAGGTGTACCCACGTCGCCGTCATCCTGACCTGCCCGAGAAATCCTCATGAAAGACTGGGAACTCAGTACTCAGAATAGCATCGGTATCGTAGACATTTCTTTTTTTATTTTTTCTCTTTAGACGGCCCACTTTACGTGGGCTATCTTTTTTTGGAAATAAGTTATTTAAATTTCTTCTCTCTTTCTTGTCTTTTACATCTGATTTCTTACTTTGTCATAAAATATGGGTAAAACATGGTGGTGGCGATAGTATAACAAACACAATTAGGACTATATGGGTAGTGATTATGTAATTATAACGGTGATGGGTGGAACAAATCGCCACGGCAACGGTAGGCAATAACAATCTGGAATTGTCATCAAATTTTGCAAACAAAAAAATCTGTCGTAATCTATCTGTCATAATGTTAATATTGTGTAGCTACATCTTATAACAATGGTTATTTCTATTTTCTTTAAAATCCTTGCTGAACTCAAAATTAATTGTACAATTATATAAACGATTCGTTATGATGTGTAATATGACTTCATTTTAATTGTTTTTACAAGAAAAAGAAGTATATTTAGTTAGAAAAATTTAGAAAAAAATAAACATTCAAAATTTCTCTTTAGAAAAATCTTTTCGGAATATATATGACTTACGATATTAAATAATAAGAAGGAAAACTGTAAATATGAATATAGTGCGACAGTTTATGACCGAATAAAATACTATACAATTATTAATTAGAAATAAAAATATGAATATAAATTATTTAATTTAAGACGATGCTTCCAAGAAGAATTATTTCCCTTACGTTTCTATATAAATTATAATATAGAAAACAGACAACAGCTCGTGTTACATCATAATTCATGAGACATAAGAATTCTGAAAATGTCGTTGAGTCAAACTAAACCGGTACTCGGTTTCTGTTACGTAAAATCCATCCAAATTGACACGGATGATTCGCAGAATTCGCCGGCCGCTTTAACCGCGCGCGATTCTTCCAATATAATCGTTCCCTGTCCCTCTTCTTTTTTGCTTCTTTGTCGGATTGATTGCGGCGGACCAACATCGTCATCGCGAGCCAGCAACGATCGTCCTTTCGTAGAATTCCCTAGTTCTTTTCTGTGTCGCTGGTTAACCAGTCGCGTCGCCTCGCCAGCGCGTCGTCGCCGTCTCTGCGTCGAGAGTGGCCGCAACCGCGAATTACTTCGCAATTTCCCGAAATTGCGCAATCCATGCGGGCTAATGGCCGCCAGGCCGCCACTGCCGCTGGTAGCAGCAGCGAGTGGCCGGGAACAGGCGGGGGCGGGAGGGCGAAATCATAAACTCGGCTCGAGCGTGTGTGTACTTGTGAGTGCAGTTGCATTGAAAAATATAAACGCGTGGCCCGTTACTTTCACGAACCGGGGCTACCTTACGGCACAACACCAACCGCTCTTTGCCAATCGTTCGGGGCTCTCCGTTTTGCGGTTTACTACGTCATAGAGAGGACCAACCGACCTGATATTATCGGCCACGACACGCTCCAGAAGGCAATTGGGGGTTGAATCATTCTCGGTTAAATCGTCGAGCGTGCCGTTGGTGTTCACTTCCCCGCTGCGATTATTGTGGAACTGTGCTCGAGTTAAATCCGGTGAGCGACCGCAATCGCGAAAAATCGCACGTTACGCATGCCGCGCTTAATTCTCGTACAGCAGGTTGTGCTAAATTAAAATTGTAGATTTATTTGATACAGAGTGTAAGAGATTTCCTCATATTTCCTTTCATATATACGACCAATCTGATGGTCGCGTTTCCTTAATAAAAATTCAATTGCATGTTTCTTGATATTTTTCACTCGCGATACTTGTCGAGGTTAGCTTCGCGTACGCGAAAAATTCTGCTTCTGTAAATTTACACTTTTCTAACGAGAATATTATTTAATACAATCTGATATCTTATTTATTTAGAGAGAAATTAGCTAAAGAAACCGTGAGGTGAGTTTTTTTTTACATAATTTACATATCTAATCGTTTATTTATATATTCTAAAAAGTTCAAACAGAGGATACGAAGTTAAATGTAATTTGAATTTCATTTACGAAGTAGACTCGCGCGCAACCTGTTCGTATATTATATCGTGTTTTGAGTATTATGCAAGCAGCACTAAACCGCGTGTGTCTGATTCTATCTATGCCGCAACATAATAACAAAACAAACAGTTTTTCTATACTATTACAACGAGTTTCGTAGAAATTACGAAATATTACTTAAACGGTAAAAAAAAAAAGACTAATTAAATACACTCAGAGCGATTCTCCGAAGTAACGTGTGAAATCTGGGAGGGGGTGGGTGGGAGGGGGAGGGGGGGCGAAAACGAGAAAGAAAACGCGTATCGGATAATTAGAAGTGGCGGGCAAATGTCACCGTGCAATCGCGCGATAAATCTGCTTGAACTCTGACGCAACTAAACAGGATTTTAATGGTGCTAATGGCCATCGGATTTATCGGTAGTACTCACGCGCGCTCATTCGCTTTGGCAACGACATGATAAGCCTTGTTGTGAAATACACTGGGAACAGGTAAATTGATCCGTCGAACGTATCGACGTACGCTATTACGTCGCCGTATGCACTTATACTTTGTTACAATGCGTATAGAAGCGTAATAATACGGAGTTCTAATGAAGAAGAGCAACTTAAGAGAGATATGTTCATTTTTTTAAATTAAAAAATATTGCCTAACAAATCCATGTTTGGAAAAAAAATATTATTAATCTAACGTTTGATGAATTTCATACCATTAGCCGAATATAGTCTTTTTCTAATTGGCGAACCCTGAAATATAGACTTTTAACTTACAGATTGTAAAAATTGTTTTCATTATTTGATGCAAAGTTATTTTGTTCATCAGTGTAAAATCTGTATGAAGCAAATTGATCGATCCTGTAGTCTTTCTGTTATGTATTGTGAATCTCAAAATTTATGTGTATAGACTTAACTCAAGAATTCGTTGGAAAGATTTCGCTAAGTAGTACAATAGGTTCGTTGATCCAGATTCAGACGCGAAATTTCACGAAAGGTGATTTTTTCAGAATTGAAAAATTCTTACATCTGCATTATAATTCGTATAAAAAAAATTGATCTACGCGAGAAAGCTTGTATATTCGAGATATGGGAAAAAGACAGACTGCTCCAAACATTTTCTTACGCGACCTTCCGAGTTTGTTGTCACGAGTTAAATACACCCATGGATGCACCATGTTGGAATAGAGTAGAGCGCGACGTTACAATAGCGTGGCATTGCGGAGAGGTTTGTGCCGGGCAAAAACCTGGGATCCGTTATTTAAACGAGGCACAGTAAAACCGATTTTCCACGGTATAGTTTTAACTTCGTGAGCGATGGCGCGACGGCGGCATCAGCGATTGTGCAAAATCCCAGCTCGCGCGCGATGTATGTGTATCGGGAATACGTATATTACTCAGAGTGTAATATGTACAGGAGAACCGGGCCTCGAGGTGTATCGAGGTCGACCGGTTCTCCAGCAGCCGTCAGTCGTTAAGGGACATTGCGACACACGTGCACGCGTGGTTGTTGTCCCTCTCGTCTCTTTCCCCGCCATCCTCCTCTTTCTCTTTCTGTTACCACCGGAGAAAAGAACTTTAGGAGTTGCAAATAAATCGTTATTTAGCCACGTACGTTGCGCCAGACGATCATCCCTTTTTATCTCGATGATTCTTCGTTGTTTCAATGTTTTAAACACATACAGTGTAGTCGTTTTTTGATAGTTTCAACATCGTGATTAAAATAAATCTAATAATTTCGTATCTAAAGAATGTTATTAACATTTGACGAATTCATGAGTACATTGCGTCAGTTGTTTGAATTTATTTCTAATCTATAAAAGACATGGTTGACCTTTCCACATGGTTTTCTAACCGTCTGATGCATTATTTACGGAATGATTCTCCACGGCACATTAATGATCTGTTACAGGTTACTTCACATAATTCGATACTAGGTGTACGGTTTTAAAGATTGCTCAAAAGTGAGCCGAAACGTGTAACACCATGTTCTTCGTTCAAATTCGATTTGTGATTTAAACTTAATTTTTGTACGCACTTTGTTTTCCGCGCTTAATTCTTATTCTGTCCTTTTTTTATTACGTAAATTCGATACCACTTTAACAACATCAATAATCTCGAATTCTTGGTATGCCGATACTGCGGTTGACGTCACTGTTTGAAATTTTTCTTCTATATCTAAATCGCACAAGGCTCCGATGCCGCAGTTTATTTCACGTCAATAACGTGCGCGCGCGATGTCAGTATTATTTTTAAATTCCTGGAATATTGGATCTTTGTTTCGTAGAAAATGGTGTGGTGGACGACTGATGCTGTAGTTTATTGCGCATTGCCACGTGGCGAGACGTCTTCGTCGTAGATCTTTCAGCGGTGCACGAATGAAGATGGAACCGGAGTAAATGAGCGCGGGCGCATATTTTTCTTGGCGGCGGTTTCCAATTTTACGTCCAGCCTGACGATACCTCTGAAACCTTTACTTCTCTTCCGTCAGCTCGAAACGAGCTCCGAGATCAGCAGCGTTATTTGTATGGCGTTAAACTGTATTTACCTCCGGTACTTTTCATCGTAAAACCTAAAAGCCTACCTATTTGCGTAAAGTCGTTTTAGATTTACGGATGAGAAAGGCAAAAAAGCGGAGGAACGTAATCCTGAGTTTGTGACTCGATACTTTTCTTGGCGCACTTACGACCATGATTCTGATCGTAAAACTCGAAAAAGTACTCGCAGTAATCGGTCGATACACGCGACCGATTTATTACATTGCGTAGCGTTGTAATAAATTACCGGCCATACGAAATAAAAATATGGAGACCTGCCGACATGAAGGCGTAACCGGAATATAGTATAATATATTATATATATATATATATATATAAAAGAGCTATATTACGATGATAATATGCCTTTGTAACGATTAAGCGGGACAATTAAGTATCTTCCATTAGAAGCTAAAAGAGCGTTGCTGATTCCAAGAGAAAATGAAAATTTAATTGAAAAGTCCTGAGCGTGCGCGACTAGAAAAATTGACATAG